ACGAGCCGTAGTGCAGAAATTCCTGCGGGCCCGGGCACATGCCGACGCGGGACGGGTCGTCGCCCGAGCACGGCGACGGGCCATGGACCGTAAAGACACGGTCGACACCGTTGACGCTGACGGTGACGTCCGAGGCGGCGGCGAGCGCGGCGGCCCCGAGGAAGGCGAGGGCGGTAGACTTGATCGTCATCATCGTTTCAGTCGTAAGTACTAGTACAAGTGTACGTAGTCAGGCGTGAATTCGCAACTGAGCGCTTGTTACTGCCACGGCGCAGCCCATTACAGCCGCGAATCTGCATAGTCTCTACCCACGTGGGTTTTGCGTCTACACGGTATTGAAATGCGCACGCACGCATACAAACCGTAAGATCGAATAAAATGTTTCACATTAAAAACGACCCACTCTCCGTGATACACAAGTCCAATCTCTTGGCCACTACAACAACAAGAAGAGGGCAGGGCGATGGAAGGCTGGGAGGACGCTGCTGCGACTGGAGAACGACGACGCAGAAAGTACTACTCCTACGGCTACGGGTGCGACTCGATCGACGACCGCGACGGCTATAGCAACGTGGTTAAAGAGACTGCGACCACCCAACCGGTTGAAGAAACCAGCGCCGACCAAATGGCGGGCGGCTCCAGAGAGCGCACCACAGAGTCGGTGGAAAGCGCTGGTCGGCGCGCGTCGAGTGTCCAACGTTAGTGAGAGCAGAGAGGGCCATTGTATTGGTCGGATCGTAAAAATGAGGTCTGCTTGACCGATCGCTCCTATCGTGCGATATATACATGTCCACCGAATGCGATGGGACGCAACAACCTCTGTACTACAGTCGTTCAGAGACGTCTCTCTTGGCCCTGTGGTTGATGGGGCCACATACAAAGCCCGAGGTGGAGGCTAGCAGCGGCAGACGAGCGTCGTGTCGAATCTAGCACCAAAGCTTCACCTTGCTCGCCCCTCGTGCGGCAGCTCGTTACGGACGCGCACCCTGTCCTTCTGTAGTGGTAGTGTCTAGCAGTGCCTGGTCCTAGTAGCGAGTGTCTGCATTGCTGCAACGATGGACGCTGGTCTAAAGTCGATCTTAGATCGTGTGCTAACGGTGCTGCCAGCTGCTACTGCCACGTTTGTTCACCGTGTGGGTGCCTAAACTGATCAAATCAGGGACTAAATTCGGATTTTCAGGTTCAATTCGGACATGTCCGAAAGCGAGCGATGGCGTACTTGCTGGAGGCGCTCGCGACCAAGGCCGCAATCGACGATGCGATCCGCGGGACGAAGGACAAGGTGCTGGTCCTGCGCTTTGGCCGCAGCAGCGACGCCGTCTGCCTCCAGATGGACGACATAGTACGCCGTCTCGACGCGGCGACATGGGCTCACCTGCCATCGCGTAGCTCGCCCGCTGCGAGGTCGAGCTCTCCAAGATGGCGCAAGTGTTTACGGTCGACACGGACAATGTCGACGTCGAGATCTACTGCCAGTACTTTGACGTGAGCTTGATTCCGTCGACCATCTTCTTCTTCAATGGCCAGCACATGAAGGTCGACTTTGGGTATGCGGTCAATTCTTGTGCTCGCCATCATCATGGATGCTACAGCACGCCCGATAACACCAAGTTTGTCGGCGCCTTCTACACCAAGCAAGACTGCATCGACTTGGTCGAGGTAGGCATCCTCCCATTCGTATCTCCATCGCTCATCATTTTGATGAGGTCATTTTTCGCGGGGCGATGCACGGCAAGTACATTGTCCTCTCGCCAATCCCCCACGAGCGCATTCCACAGTACACTATATATGTGACACGTCTGGCGTACGGTATATGTATCATGGTCAATCTGTCATTGTAGGTACGAACTCTTGTACAAGGATTTTTAATGTTGTACTGCACGCAGCTCGCGACTGAACTCTTCAAACGTCTTGGACGGCAGCGGCTGGATCCGGTCTTTCGACGGCGATGCAAGGTCCGGTTTTTGGTTGCGCAGCGCCTTGTACGCCTTGTCCTTCTGGACGGCGCCGCGCCACGCTTGCTCGACGCGTGTCGGTTTCTGGGTCGTCGTTGCCCGTGCGTGGTGACGTGGCGCGACGACGTGGTCGCTCGCATGAAATTGGGCATATTGAGACACTTTGACCTAGTCGTCGTTGTGTACAAGTCGACGAGGAAAGCTGGTGCTAGCTCACGAGTACCTTGGCTTCGGCGTCGTCTGGCGCCAAGCGCTGGGCCGCGACGTAGTCTTGATACGCCAGCTGGCTCTGGTCCATGTACCGGAAGCAGTCGCCGCGCCGAATGAAGAACGCGGGCACCCTGTGGTTGTATCGGATCGCCGACGAAAACTCGACCTCGGCCTTATCAAACGCGGCGCGGTTGAAGAGCTCGAGCCCAAATTGGTAGCGGATCATTGCAATGCGTGTGTGGATCTCCGTGTCCGTCGGCTGGAGCTCCCGCGCCGTGTTGTAGTCGGCGAGCGCCGCTTGGAGCTTCCCGAGTGCGCGGTAGCAGTCGCCGCGGTTGACGTGATACCGGTAGTCGATCGTCGTGCCTTCAAAGCGAGACGACGTTATCGTCTCGGACGCGATCGCCTGTGCAACAATATATGATGTACAACTTGTCATCCTTCGCGCCGACCGAGTGTACCTGGTTCATGGCTGTGAGACCTGCTTCGAACTCGCCGGCCTGGATGTGCATGACCGCCATGTCTTGGCATCAAATGAGAGAGGATCCAACAGACTATGTAGCGTACCGTTGAGAATGAGGTTGCGCTGCCGGCTAATCTCGGGGTGCTCCTCCGCTCGCATGTGTTGGTCCAGCTCGT